CGCTCTCTTCTCTCTCTCTTTTATATAATGTACCACTGATGTGGTGTGTACGTATGGTGTGTCACTGATGGGTGTAAGAAGCCCACAGCAGTTTCCCTTATCAAGGACAAAGTAGCAAAATCAACCGTAATTATTGAAGCGATGTTATATTTCAGCAACCTGGCACACGTACATGCGAAGATGACACGTCTTTTTCTCACCTTTCTCTCTTCTCTGTCTCTCTCTCCCTCTATCGTTCCCTGTTGGCTCGCTTTTCATGTCCTCTCACATTGTCTCTCGGTCTCCCCATCTCATTTTCTCCCCCTTGCTGTCTCTCCATATATATATATATATATATACATTTCTATAGTTGTCTCTCACCGATCTCTCCCTCTGTCTATTCTTTCCTATCTCCCTCTGACCTCCTCAATCTCGCTCTCTCCCTCTCTTGCTCGCTGTCAGATCCTCCCTCACATTCTGTCTCTCCCCATCTCACCCATCTCATTTTCGCCTCCATATACATCTCTATATTTGTCTATCACCGATCTATCGTTCTGTCTATTCTTTCCTATCTCCCTCTGACCCCCTCAATCTCCCTCTCTTGCTCGCTGTCAGATCCTCTCTCACATTCTGTCTCTCCCCATCTCACACATCTTATTTTCTCCTCCATATACATCTCTATATTTGTCTATCACCGATCTATCGTTCTGTCTATTCTTCCCTATCTCCATCTGACCCCCGCATTCTCTCTGTCGCTCGCTATGACGCTCCCGCGGTCAGCATCTGACGCTGCCGGTGTTTTTGCGTAGCTTAGCAACACCTCCCGCAGCCGCACGAGGTCAACATGTAGGAATTTAAATTTGGAGGCAAATGTCAGCGAGCCGGCAATGCAACACGTCTCGTGATTGGTCTGTTTACGGCATTAGCACACCGGCGAAGGAGGAGGAGGGAGGGGGAGAGACAGGGAGAGAGAGAGAGAGAGAGAGCGAGCGAGCGAGAGAGAGCGCACTGACAATCAATCCCCCAACGCAGGCCGCGCTACCCTGCTCGTCCGGGGGTTTTACCGAGCAGCAGTTACCCCGGTGCGCAGGCGCGCGCTGCGAGGTAGCGCCTGCTGCCGCGTGACTCACTGTGGCATTAGACTGTGCTGCCACTCCCTGGCGGCGGCGGACATTGCAGGGCGCCGGCAGCGGCAGCAGCAGCAGCGTGGAATAACCCGAACCTCCGCTGCTGCTGCTGCTGCTTGCTGCTTCACTGAACACGGGGCTTGTGTGTGTGCGTGTGGCGCGCAGGCAGGCAGGCAGGCAGGCGTACATGTATCAGCAGCAGTAGCGGCTTAGCCGGGCTGTACGTGTGTGGGTAGTCTATATGGCATTATGGCCTGCCTGCCATACTGTGGCATGGGGCTGTATATATATATATGTGTGTCCCGTAGTACAGTCAGTCGTACGTACCGTGTATGTACGTACGCGTGGAGAGCTTGTACCACACATTCGCGCATACGTCTCTCGCTCCTCTCTCTCTCCTCTCTCTCTCTCTCTCTCTCTCTCTCTCTCCTCTCTCTCTCTCTCTCTCTTCTCCTCTCTCTCTCTCTCTCTCTCTCTCTCTCTCTCTCTCTCTCTCTCTCTCTCTCTCTCTCTCTCTCTCTCTCTCTCTCTCTCTCTCTCTCTCTCTCTCTCTCTCTCTCTTCATATATGAATAAATATGTATATATAGTAATAGTCTGAGAGTATAAATATGAATGCCATACGTTACACTTACAGTCAATTGTCCATATCTTTGTCTACCACACAGTCGTACGTACGTGTGTTGGTGTCACAGTCAGGTCTGTCAACACTGTCACATATGTATGTGCATGCGTGCGTGTGTGAGGTAACTGTTTATGTATCGTAATATGTATGTGTGTGTGTGTGCGTGCGTATGTGTATGTGTGTGTGGTAACTGTTTATGTATCGTAACATGTACGTGTGTGCTCGTGCGTGCGTGCGTGCGCGTACGTATACATGTGTGATGTATGGACATACTGCAACTCATATGCTCAGTGTGTTATCGTACGTGCGCATTACACATATGTACTTATGATTATGATATAGTGCTATATGTGTGCAGGTAACAGGTGTATGGCATCGCATCTATATACACGCACTGTACGCATGTCTTACTTCAGCCAATATGTATTTACGTACAACAAACATTACAGCTGCTGATGCACTTGGCCATACACATAGATAAAAGCGAGAGTACATTGACATTTCAAATGCATCTGTGATGTCACTATATATTAGAGTGAGAGAGAGAGCAAACTATATTGAACTTAGCTCTAGTACTATAGCCCGCGTTCATTAACTGCCGCAGGGATATAGAACATTTTCAGCTGGATTTCGTAACTGCAACCTGTTACCACCTGTCCCCACGAAAAATGGATCGCAAAACGCAAAATGTTCGGGCTTTTTAACACTTATTTATCTACATGGATATCTCAGCTATCTTTTTGACCACTTTCCACAACGATACACCATGTATTTATCCATTTATTCCTAAAAGTGCTAGCTCTACTTGCAAATTCCGTTTGAAATGATGTGTGTACACGCGTGACGTCACCCGAAATGTAGCTGCATCATAGCTGCCACAGTGTAGCTGCCATGTGTTTTGCCTACATAACTCGCTATGATGCAGCTGCATTTCGGGTGACGTCACGCGTGTACACACATCATTTCAAACGGAATTTGCAAGTAGAGCTGGCACTTTTAGGAATAAATGGATAAATACATGGTGTAAAGTTGTGGAAAGTGTTCAAAAAGATAGCTGAGATGTCCATGTAGATAAATAAGTGTTAAAAAGCCTGATCATTTTGCGTTTTGCGATCCATTTTTCGTGGGGACAGGTGGTAACAGGTTGCAGTTACGAAATCTAGCTGAAAATGTTCTATAGCCCTGCGGCAGTTAATGAAAGCGGGCTATAGTACTAGAGCTATATTTCACTATGCTAACCAGCTAGCTAATTAATTATCCAAGAGTCTAACACTGGAAATGTCACGATAATGCACAATTGCACCAATTGCATAAAAATAAGTTGGATGAAAATACGTTTGCTGTATATTTAAGTGGTATTGTTCAAAAATGTTACTTTTACGTAATTCTTTATGTAGTACTTTAACGTCATCTGAGTCGAGCAAGATACAACACATGTAAAACAGTAAATGTAACAAAAAGACGGTGAAAATAGCTCTATTTATTTGAGTGCTCCGTGATTTTATGTGTAAGTGGAATGCTTGTATTACCAAGTAGTGAATGAATATTTTAATAAGTGTCTAGATTAGCATAACCCCATTGACCCATAAAACCACGTCGGCGGCTGTTAGTGTTAAGTGCATGTTAGAAAAACATTGGCTTTGGTTACGGCTTGTGTATCGGTTGTACACAGTAGATGAGGGTAGGTATACATGTAGGGTTTCTTCTGAGGGAAAATTAGACAAAGGAGGTAATGGCCAGTTTGGGAAAAAAATGGATTCAAATACAGGCTGTATTGATATACTTATAGGTATATAGATACAGGATATACTTAT